TGTTGTTGCGTTGACTTATGCATTCCAAGTCTTCCACTTTGTTTGAAAGTGTTTCAACAGTATAGCATGCTCACTCTGGATAACAGCTTACTTACAGTATGCATTGCTCTGCTTGTGCTATCCGCCCTGTGCATTCCTTCCCTACTTATCTTCGTAATTGTTGGTGGGACTCCATAAATTGTCTTGTAAAGTCCACTTTTCGAAGACATTACAGCTTTCATAATATCTTCGTTATTTTCACCCGAAGTTACTACTTCATCAGCATCTTGTTCAGAGCCATCCGCAGCTGTCATGGCGTCGTTAGTTTCTTCACCCTCAGAATATTCAGCTTCATTTCTGGTCTTTTTCTTGTGCTTCTCGGCACCTTTGCGTGACATTTTACTTCCCTATACTTTTATATTTGTGTTGCTTGACTTTAAATACAATGCTAGTTGGTATTGTAGGAGTAATTGCAAACTAGCAGCAGAGCTAAAAGGTTGCGACCTCTCAGCACCTCGCCATAACCGGAAGTCAATAACTCATCTCTAATCACTGATTTCTTTTATCTTCACCATGATGAGAGCACATACTATTAGACTGGATATTCTTCAAGACACTAGTGTTCAGCTTAAAGTGACATGTAAAGGCTTCAATTAGGGTAATTAGGGTAAAGTTAGGGTAATTAGGCAAGTCATTGTATAACAGTGGTTTGTTCTGGAGACAATTGGGGAACAAATGAGAGGGGCTAATAATAATAACCTTAAACTGAAAATAAATACACATTTTATACTATTCTAATAACAACAACAACTTTTAATTCAGCCAAACTAAAAAGAAAAAGAAATAAAAATAAATAAATAAATAAATAAATAAATAAATAAATAAATAAATAAATAAATAAATAAATAAATAATTAGAAATTTTCCTTGCTCGATTATACATTACTTGTAAAATGTTTGTAAAGAAATGAAATACTTTTCTACAGGAGGGCAAATAAATCTGCCTTCAACAGTAGATGAGTGATGTTAGTGAGACTCACGTTGACCAGTGTGTTTGCGTCCACCAGCTCTGTGATGGATGTGATTCTGTTCAGCACCACCTTCAGCTTATTTCCCTCTCTGTTCACAATAGTCTGAAACACACACACACACACACACACACACACACACACACACACACACACACACACACACATACACACACACACACACACACACACACACACACACACTCATCATTAATCTAAAACATGCTGCATTGCCATAACCCTAACATTGGGTCAAACCTAATTGTTCTCCGCGTGGGTTTCCTTCGGGTTCTCAAGAGTCGTCATATTTCTCTCTCTCCGGTTTCCCAACACTGGGAAACACCCATACAATACCCATACTCGTTCACACACATACACTACGGCCAATTTAGTTGATCAGTTACCCTATAGCGCATGTGTTTGGACTGTGGGGGAAACTGGAGCACCTGGAGGAAACCCACACCAACACGGGGAGAACATGCAAACTCCACACAGAAACACCAACTAACCCAGCCAGGACTCGAACCAGAGACCTTTTTGCTGTGAGGCCACAGTGCTAACCACTGAGCCACCGTGCCACCATAATAATTGTAATAAATAAATACATAAATAAATACATAAATAATGTTAATACTACTACTAATAATACATAAATAATAAATAAATAAATAAATAATACTAATCATAAATAAATAAATAATATTAATATTAATAAATTATTATTATTATTATTATTATTATTATTATTAATAGCACTACTACTACTACTACTACTATTACTACTACTAATAATAATAATAATAATAATAATAATTAGTAAATAAATAATTATAATACATAAATAATAATAATAATAATAATAATAATAATAATAATAATACATAAATAGATAATAATATTATTAATAATAATAATACATAAATAATAATAATAATATATAATTAAATAATAATAATACATAAATAATAATAATAAATAAATAATATTACTAATCATAAATAAATAAATAATATTAATATTAATACATTTTAAAAAATAATAAATCGTAAATAAATAATAATACATAAATAATCATATTCATAATAATAATAATAATAATAAAGATAATAATAATAATATGTAAATAATTAAATAGATAAATAAAACGAATACATTAATAACAATAATTTGTAAATAAATAATAATATTACATAATAATAATAATAATACGAAGAAGAAGAAGAAGAAGAAGAAGAAGTAGAAGAAAAAGAAGAATTCATAAATTAATAATAATACTCAATACATAAATAATAATACATAAATAATAATAATAATAATAATAATAATACATAAATAAATAATATTAATAATACATAAATAAATAATAATACAGAAATTTACAACATGCCAGAAACAGTCAAAAGGATATTTTGCATTTGCTGATTGCAAGTCAGTTTAATTAGTTTACCCAACAAATTAAAGTTAAAGGTAAAGTACTAAGCTTCAACATGCATTTGTATTTTACTGCATGGATAAGCAGATATTCACCTTGACTCTCTCTCCGGTCAGCGTCTCAATGTCGGCCTCCTGCCCGATGGTGAAGCTGTTGGTCAGCACTTTTGATCCGGTCGTGACGGTCACTTTAAACTGGTTTCCGTTCTCCTCGATCTCAGACACACTCTTGATGTCTTTGCCTTTCTCAATCATGTCGTCAGGAAGACCTGAAACAATTGTGTGTTCATTTCATCATCAGATGCATCAATTTACAGCTCAACACAAGTGTATTCACCCGCCTGTGAAATATATAGTGTTTATAAAACTTCCAAAGTGCTGTTTAACAGAGATCCACAGCATTTTTAATAAGCGTAAGAGTTTTTAGAACTGATTTCTTTTGTTTTGCTTTGATGACAGTACATCATTTACTAGTTATCTAGCAAGATACTAATGTTCAGCTTACCGCAATTTATTAGGGAAGGCATTAGACTGGGGTTTGTACTGTAGACTAATAATAATAGCAATAATAATATTGGGGTATCACAGGGGCGCAGTGGGTAGCACAATCGTCTCACAGCAAGAAGATCATTGGTTCTGGCTGGGTCAGTTGGTGTTTCTGTGTGGAGTTTGCATGTTCTCCCTGCGTTGGCGTGGGTTTCCTCCGGGTGCTCCGGTTTCCCCCACAGTCCAAACACATGTGCTATAGGGGAATTGATCAACTAAATTGGCCGTAGTGTGAACAAGTATAGATATTGTATGGGTGTTTCCCAGTGTTGGGTTGCAGCTGGAAGGGCATCCGCTGCATAAAACATACACTGGATAAGTTGGCGGTTCAATACGCTGTGGCGACCCCTGATTAATAAAAGGACTAAGCCGAAAAGAATGAATGATGGTATTGACTAAAGTGGTTTTACTTGTTTTATTTATTTTTTATTTTGACTAAACTAAAAGAAATTTAAAAAATACAAATAAATAAATACAAAAATACAGAATTAAAATAGAAAACAAGTTAAAATAAAAAAGTAAAATTTATTTTAAGGATTGTAAAAATATAGGAATAAAAATTGATGAACACTGGAAACATTTTATGATCAATTATTCTTGACAGAATAGGTTATTGTAAATTATTAAACTAAGTTAACCATGTTCTAACTTAATTTCACAAGTTATGCAAGCTGTTTTCAGTCAGTTTAACATAATATTCAAAGTTTAATGGACTCATAAGACTAATTTAATTCAGCTTAAAAATTTAGGGCAACCAGGATTTTTTTTTTACTGCGTATATGTATTTTATTTATGACAAATATTTACAAAAATAAATTAATAATAATCATAATAATAATAAAAGATATAAAGACAGAAGAAAACTGTATATAAAGTAATAATAATAATAAAAATATATGAAAATAATAAACATTGCTCTTGAGAAATTCATTCATTCATTCATTTTCTTTTCGGCTTAGTCTCTTTAGTAATCTGGGGTCATCACAGTGGAATGAACTGCCAACTTATCCAGCATATGTTTAACACAGCGGATGCCCTTCCAGCTGCAACCCAGTACTCTTAATCCCACATGCACAATACGGCCAATTTAGCTTACCCACTTCCCCTATAGCGCATGTGTTTGGACTGTGGAGGAAACCAGAGGAAACTCACGCGAACACAGGGAGAACATGCAAACTCCACACAAAAACGCTGATCCAGCCGAGGCTCGAACCAGCGACCTTCTTGCTGTGAGGCGATTGTGCTGCTCTTGAAATGTATGAATTATTAATATATTAATATTAAAATAATGAAATTCACAGGAGGGTAATAACTTCTTCACTTGTGTTTCAGTGCAAAAGTCTTGTTTCTAGTCCAAATATCTAAACATTCTTAAACCAAGACACATTTTCTGGATGCATGAAAAGATTGAATATATTAATTTTCAGAAATAGTCAAAATTAAGTGAGTTTCCTTAAAACAAGGCAGATTATGTGCTTGTTTTAAAGGAAAAACTCACTTAATTTATTTGTTTCTGCTATACTTTGTTACTTTGTCAAGAAAATGCTTCTCGATTTAAGATCTTTTAAATACTTATAGCTAGAAATGAGACAAGAAAAGCATTTTTGCAGTGTCATGCCATGTATTTATGTCATGATTTCCAATGCAAATGTCCAAAAAAAGAGACGTTTGCATGATATTTTACAGCAAATGTGCATTCAAATAAAATCTTTCAAGCCATTCCATAGGGTTTGCATTGCAGATTCTTAGATGTGAATCCACACGCTTATTAAAATCAAGTTATCATCACCTATCTTCTCAACCTTAGGCATTGATGAAAATTGAAGTCATTACTAAAATGCCATTTCCATGCATCTGATTCGCCCGTAGCTCTTCTATTTTGGCTTTACTTATGATTCCTGTTGAAAAAATAAATGCTGTGGGTCTCACCGACGGCCTTCATGAACTCCACGAAGCCCTCTTGACTCTCCAGCTGATATTTCCCAGTGAACGACATGATGAGAGCTGAATACAGAGTGACCCTGAGGGTCCGACAGACGCTTTAATACACTCACAATCACTGATTAATAATTATTAACCACCGCACCGCAGGCTCCTGATTGGTGGATGCAGCCGAAATCTCATCAGGTGAAGTGTCATCTGGGGTGAAGCATGTGATCAGATAATGGCCCTAACCTTTGACCTCTGCACTAATGATATGACATCATCATCATCATCACACACACTGATGGACCTTTGATTTCTGAGGAGCTGCAATGGTCGATAGATATAATAAAAGTCTCGCCGGGGAGCACAAACACTGGAGGATCTTCAGGGTTTCACAGCCTTTCTGCTCATCAAACAAGCAAATTCAGCACCGCCTGCAGGATTATACAAAACCATATACACTCACCGGCCACTTTATTAGGTACACCTTACTACAGGGGTGTCCAAACCCATTTCCAAACCCAATTTAACACACCTGAACCAGTTTATCAAGCTGTTTGGGTATTCTAGAAACTTCCAGACAGGTATGTTGAAGGAAGTCTGAGCTAAACTATGCAGGTCACTGGCCCTCCAGGACTGAGGTACCTCTGCCTTACAAGTACCGGGTTGGACTCCTTTTTGCCCTCAGAATTCAGATTCAGATTCAACAAGCTACTGGAAATATTCCTCAGAGTTTTTGCTCCATGTTGTCATGATAGCATCACACAGTTGCTGCAGATGTGTCGGCGGCACATCCATGATGCCAATCTCCCATTCCACCATATCCCAAAGCTGCTCTATTGGATTGAGCTCTGGTGACTGTGGAGGCCATTTGAGTACAGTGAACTCATCGTCATGTTCAAGACACCAGTCTGAGATGATTGAGCTTTATGACATGCTGCGTTATCCTGCTGGAAGTAGCCATCAGAAGATGGAGACACTGTGCTCATAAAGGGATGGACATGGTCAGCAGCAATACTCAGGTAAGCTGTGGTGTTGATGCTCAATTGGTGCTAATGGACCCAAAGAAAACCTCCCCCACACCATTACACCACCACCACCAGCCTGAACCGCTGATACAAGGCAGGATGATCCATGCTTTCATGTTGTTGAGGCCAAATTGTGAGCCGAGCATCTGAATGTGTCAGCAGAAATGGAGACTCATCAGAGCAGCAACGTTTCTCCAATCTTCTATTGTCCAGTTTTGGTGAGTCTGTGTGAATTGTAGCCTCAGTTTCCTGTTCTTAGCTGACAGGAGCGGCACCCGGTGTGCTCTTCTGCTGCTGTAGCCCATCCGCCTCAAGGTTGGACGTGTTGTGTGTTCAGAGATGCTCTTCTGCAGAGCTCGGTTGTAGCGAGTGCTTATTTGAGTTACTGCTGCCTTTCTATCAGCTGGAACCAGTCTGGCCATTCTCCTCTGACCTCTGGCCTCATCAACAAGGCATTTGCGCCCACAGAACTGCCGCTCACTGCATATTTCCTCTTTGTCGGAGCATTCTCTGTAAATCCTAGAGATGGTTGTGCGTGAAAATCCCAGCAGATCAGCAGTTTCTGAAATACTCAGAGCAGCCCGTCTTGCAGCGACAACCTTGCCACGTTCAAAGTCTCTTAAATCCCCTTTCTTCCCCATTCTGATGCTCAGTTTGAGCTGCAGCAGGTCGTCTTGACCATGCCTACATGCCTAAATGCATTGAGCTGCTGCCATGTAATTGGCTGATTTGGAATTTGTGTTGGACAGGTGTACCTAATAAAGTGGCCGGTGAGTGTATACTGTGTGCATGCATATACATTTTCATATATAATTGAAGATTAGTCCTCCAAAAACTTTCTAAAACAAACATGTAAAACTGCTGTGGTAAATAGCATTGCCTTTAAAGAGATTATTATTTATTAATTATCACAGAACAAACCAATAACTCGTCTAATTACCCTAATGAAGCCTTTAAATGTCACTTTAAGCTGAACACTAGTGTCTTGAAGCATATGTAGTCTAATATTATGTGCTGTTATCATGACAAAAAATAAATCAGCTATTAGAGATGAGTTATAGTTTTATTTTTCATGTCAATTTGACAGGGAAATTGCACATTCATAACAAGTGTGCAGAATCAGCCAAAAGGATATTTTACATATGCAGATGGGAAATTTGTCCATCTACAATATATACGAGATTTACGGACAGCATGGTGGCTCAGTGGTTAGGGTCATCTCACAGCAAGAAGGTCCCTGGTTCGAGTCTCGGTTGAAACAGTTGGTGTTTCTGTGTGGAGTTTGCATGTTTTCCTAGTGTTTGCGTGGGTTTCCTCTGGGTGCTCCAGTTTCCCCCACAGTCCAAACACATGCGTAGTGTATAAGTGTGTGAAGGAGTGTGTATGGGTGTTTCCCAGTACTGGATTGTGGCTGGATGGGCATCCACTGTGTAAAACATATGGTGCAATAGTTGGCGGTTCATTCCGCTGTGGTGACCCCTGCTAAATAAGGGACTAAGAAAAATATTCTTGCTTTTCTTTTTGAAAGGTGATTTATTAAGCTTGTTTTAATGAAAAACTCACTTTGTCTCCTTTCTTAAAACAAGACAATAAAATTCACAGTTTTGAAAATGCGTAATTCAAGACTTCTTAGATATTTGGCCTAGAAACAAGACAAACAAATAAAGGATAAAGGTGATTCATTCATTCATTTTCTTGTCTGCTTAGTCCCTTTATTAATCCGGGGTCACCACAGCGGAATGAACTGCCAACTTATCCAGCACATGTTTTACGCAGTGGATGCCCTTCCAGCCGCAACCCATTTCTGGAAAACATTCATACACGCTCATTCACACTCATACACTACGGACAATTTAACCTACCCAATTCACCGCATGTGTTTGGACTCGAACCAGCGACCTTCTTGCTGTGAGGCGACAGCACTACCTACTGCGCCACTTCGTCGCCCAGGATAAAGGTTATGTCAGGACGTAAATAGCACACACATTCAATCATATTTATAGCCAAGCTCTGATTTGAATGTCATGCACTTCAAACAGCCGGGATGAATCATCCTGCATGAGGTTTTGCTGTGCTGATTGATTTATATCTACTTGCTTATATCTGCACGCTGTCTTCAAATTATGAATCAGTCATGAGATGATGTAAATACATCCGTTTTCTGTGTGTCATTTTCATGAGCCGCATCATCTGAGCGTGTCCAAGCAGAAAAGAGGCCTTCAGAGAGCCACAGAAGCCTCGGAAAAAGCGACATGTGTGATTATTCATGTAAGACCAGTGGAAAAAACCACACATCTGAGAAATACTATAATACTCAAGTATCTACAACTTAATGAAGGCTCCAGCTTATACTGTAGTATTAACTACCATGATAAGCTGTGTTTACTACAGTAAACTGTGGTGTATATACACCCTATAGTTGGAGGAAACTTCATTCATTTGTTTATATTACTATAGTTGTCGTGTTACCATAGCAACAGTAGAATCACCACAACAGATCTATTACTATAGTTGTCGTGTTACCATAGCAACTGTAGAGTCACCACAACAGATTATTTACTGTAGTTGTCATTACCATAGCAACTGTAGAATCAATACAACAGATTATTTACTATAGTAGTTATGTTACCATAGCAACCGTAGAATCACCACAATAGATCCATTACTATAGTTGTCTTGTTACCATAGCAACTGTAGACTCGCCACAACATCATTTACTATAGTTGTCGTGTTATTATAGCAACTGTAGACTCGACACAACAGATTATTTACTATAGTAGTTAAGTTACCATAGCAACTGTAGACTCACCACAACAGATCATTTACTATCGTTGTTGTGTTACCATAGCAACTGTAGAATAACCACAATAGATCAATTACTATTGTTGACGTGTTACCATAGCAACTGTAGAATCACCACAACAGATTATTTACTATAGTAGTTATGTTACCATAGCAACTGTAGACTCGCCACAACAGATCATTTACTGCAGTTGTCATGTTCCTATAGCAACTGTAGAATCACCACAACAGATTATTAACTATAGTAGTTATGTTACCATAGCAACTGTAGAATCACCACAACAGATTATTTACTATAGTTGTCATGTTACCATAGCAACTGTAGAATCGTCAAGACAGATTATTTATTATTGTAGTTAAGTTACCATAGCAACTGTAGAATCACCACAACAGATCATTTACTATAGTTGTCATGTTACCATAGCAACTGTAGACTCGCCACAACCGATCATTTATTATAGTAGTTAAGTTACCATAGCAACTGTAGAATCACCACAACAGATCGATTACTATAGTTGTTGTGTTACCATAGCAACTGTAAATTACCACAGCAGATCAATTACAATAGTTGTCGTTTTACCACTGCAACTGTAGACTCGCCACAACAGATTATTTACAATAGTAGTTATGTTACCATAGCAACTGTAGAATCACCACAACAGATGGATTACTATAGTTGTTGTGTTACCATAGCAACTGTAGACTCACCACAACAGATTATTTACTACAGTAGTTGTTACCATAGCAACTGTAGAATCACCACAACAGATCAATTACTATAGCTGTTGTGTTACCATAACAACTAAAACAGATTATTTACTATAGTTGTTGTGTTGCCATGGCAACTGTAGAATCACCACAGTAGATTAATTCAAGTACTCTGGTAAATTGCTGTAGTAAATACTGTAATAAATACCATTGTATTCTTTAGTTTTTAGTAAAAGTAAACTGTGGTTTATAGTAGTATAATATACCATATTGTTGTAAAAAACTACATTTGTTTCTTTATATTATTGCTATGCTATTGTTATCAAATACTTTTAATTCAAGTACTTTACTATAGTGTGTTTCAAAAACACTGTGGTGGTTTTTGAACCCTACTATGGAGAAGGGGGATGTGTCGTAACAGCGCAAAGCATTCAGGATGTTCCCTCTGATCTCTAATGATTTATTGTATCATATATACACTCATCAGCAATAAACCGTGAGTGCTCACACTACACATACTGAGAGAACATCATGCCTGGAAGTGTTTTACTTG